TTTATTCTTTATTTTGTTTGTTCTTATTCTTTCTTTTGCATGTGGAAACAATTTAATATGTGGTCTGTTGCAATTTTCAACGATGACAAACCATAAACTGACTTTGCAGCAAGGAAGCACCCTTAGCCTCCAACTACTATTGCCTTTTAGAAGTTACTTTTCTTATTACTTCCTTACAAAACACAGATGGACAGGACAACATTGGGGCCTTCCAGACTAGATTTAAAAAAACTAGTGTATTCTTATTGAAAGTAAGACAGTTCCAGAAACCATAATAAAGCTTGGATTCTTCATTAAAATTCTTATAGGTATTTTATTGAGAAGTAAATATCGATTTCTTTCCTTGAAATGCCTAGGTCTTAGTACATTTCCCCATCATTTCCTCACACGACACTGGGTCTTCCCCTTCTTTTATTTCCTTTTTATGATTTGCACACCAATGGTTAGAGTAAATGTTACTGTGTTTTGTATTTTTACACCACCTAATAGTATTAAGAATTAGATTATTCTTAATTTTAGAGGTAAGAACTTATTGATGTGTGTAATCCTAGATTTGGAATTCTAATAGAGTTAAGGATCAAGTTATAATTGAGTTTTAATTTTAGAGGGAAGAACTTATTGAAGTGTATATGCTTGGCATATGATTGTTTGAGGAACCTTAAGAAAACATAACCTCTGTTGTTTTGGATATTCATATCATTACTTTCCTGCCTACTTGAGTACTTATGATTACTGAAAGGAATATTTGGATTCATGCTGTTCAAATATGGATATTTTGTCATCAATACTGCCTGCCTCTACTTCTCGAAATTCTGAACCCTTTTCTTCACACAACAGGAAATCATTCGGCTGCAAAAAGTTCAAGGCCCCAGCGCACTCAGCGCAAAAGACGAGATGGCTAGATTGGCACGGCATTTGGGTTCATTGCCTCTTCTTGCCAAGCACAGGATAAATTGCATCCGAACTGCCATAAAAAGAAACATGGATGTGCAGAACTATGGCTATGCCAAACAGATGCTGGAACTTCTCCTTTCCAAAGCACCTCCAGGCAAGCAAGACGAGCTGAGAAGCCTGATTGACATGTGCATTCAGAGGGGCTTGACCAACAAATCCATCGACCCCCTGGAAGACCCCTCCCAATTCTGCGCTGCTACGCTCAGCCGCCTGTCCACCATTGGGTATGATGTCTGTGACCTCTGTGGCGCAAAGTTCTCTGCTTTGTCGACGCCTGGCTGCATCATCTGTGGAATGGGAAGCATTAAAAGATCAGATGCCATTGCTGGACCTGTTGGACCTGTCCCGTCACCATTTGGCTGAGGTCTATGTCGATGTCACTGAGATTGTTCGATACTCTCTTTTCTGTAGAGATGAGCAGAAGATTCACACTACAATTTCCTCTTGTAATTTGTGCTTGTGTATCTTTGTATTCTTGTATGTTCTTGTTAGTTGATTTGATCTGTCCCCTATTTTTCTGAAATGGCCTGTTTTCATGTAATGAGTTAGATGGTATCTTTCACCTATATATGATTCTCATTCATTGCTTCTCTATGTTAGGATTAATTGAACATCTATCTAAAGGCAAGAACTTTAACATTGATCTTCACTCATCACTCAAATGTACTTAAAAACGTTCACCTATAGAATTTTGTTACGAGTTCTTTTTTTTTTTTTAAACGATAACACTTGTTGGATTTTTCGGGATGACGCGACTCAGTCGGCGTCTCTGTACGAATCCTCGTTCGCAATATACGGTTGACGACGAGTCTGTGAACGGCGGACAAGGTCGTCGTTCGCGATTTTTAGTCCAAACATGCAGCGCAGAAAATTCCTTTTTGATGTCTACATATCACGAAAATCTGTGCAGGAGTTTTTTGGGACGCCCACTCTGTCTCGATGGACGGCTGTGCGACATTCGTACATCGGGTCACGAGTTCGCTGCTGTCTGCCAGGACAGACGTCGACAATGATCATTTCGCAGGTTCACATATAGAATCCTTGTTACGAGTTCTCTATTTTTTTTTTTTCTAAACGATAACGCTTGTTGGACTTCTTGCGATGACGCGGGTCCGTCGGCATCCTTGCGCGAATCCTCATTCGCAACATATGGCTGGACGACGAGTCCGTGAACGGCGGATAACGTCGTCGTTCGCGATTTTTGGCCCCAACGTGCATCGCAGAAAATTCCTTTTTGATGCCTACATATTCACGAAAATCCGTGCAGGAGTTTTTTGGGACACCCACTCTATCTCGATGGACGGCTATGCGGCACTCGTACGTCGGGTCACGAGTTCGCTGCTGTATGCTGGGGCAGACATCGACAATGATCCTTTCGCAAGTTCACCTATAGAATCCTTGTTACGAGTTCTCTTTTGTTTTTTTCTAAACGATAACACTTGTTGGACTTCTCGCTTGGCGGACAAAGTAGTTGTTCTCGATTATCGGCCCCGTTGTGCATCGCAGGAAATTCCTTTTGATGCCTACATATTCACGAAAATCGGTGCAGGAGTTTTTTGGGACGCCCACTCTGTCACAATCGACGGCAGTGCGGCATTCGTACGTCGGGTCACGAGTTCGCTGCTGTCTGCATGGGCAGACGTCGACAATGATCTTTTCGCAGGTTAACCTATGGAATCTATGTTACTAGTTCTCTTTTCTTCTAAACGATAACGCTTGTTGCACTTCTCGCGATGATGCGGCTCCGTCAGCGTCCCTGCGCGAATCCTCGTTCGCAATATACGGCTGGACGACGGGTCCGTGAACGGCGGACAAGGTCGCCGTTCGCGATTTTTGGCCTCGACGTGCATCCAGAAAATCCCTTTTTGATGCCTACATATTAACGAAAATCCGTGCAGGAGTTTTTTGGGACGCCCACTCTGTCTCGATGGACGGCTGTACGGCATTCGTATGTCGCGTCACGAGTTCGCTGCTGTCTGCCGAGGCAGACGTCGACAATGATCATTTCGCAGGTTCACCTATAGAATCCTTGTTATGAGTTCTCTTTTTTTTTTTAAACGATAACGCTTGTTGGACTTCTCCTTTGGCGGACAAGGTCGTCGTTCGCGATTTTTGGCCACGACGTGAATCGCAGGAAATCCCTTTTTGATGCCTACATATTCACGAAAATCCGTGCAGGAATATTTTGGGACGCCCACTCTGTCTCGATGGACGGCTGTGCAACATTCGTACGTCGGGTTACGAGTTCGTTGCTGTCTGCCGGGGCAGACGTCGACAGTGATCATTTCGCAGGTTCACCCATAGAATCCTTGTTACGAGTTTTTTTTTTTTTTTTTTCTAAACGATAATGCTTGTTGGACTTCTTGCAATGACGTGGGTCCGTCAGCATCCCTGCGCGAATCCTCATTCGCAACGTACGGCTGGACGACGGGTCCGTGAACGGCGGACAACGTCGTCGTTCGCGATTTTTGGGCCCCGACGTGCATCGCAGAAAATCCCTTTTCGATGCCTACATATTCACGAAAATCCATGCAGTAGTAGTTTTTTGGGACGCCCACTTTATCTCGATGGACGGCTGTGCGGCACTCGTACATCGGGTCACGAGTTCGCTGCTGTATGCCGCAGCAGACGTCGACAATGATCCTTTTGCAGGTTCACCTATAGAATCCTCGTAACGAGTTCTCTTTTTTCTAAACGATAACGGTTGTTGGACTTCTTGCCATGACGCGGCTCCGTCGGCGTCCCTGTGCAAATCCTCGTTCACAATATACGGCTGGACGATGGGGTCCGTGAACGGCGGACAAGGTCGTCGTTCGCGATTTTTGGCCGCGACATGCATCGCAGGAAATCCTTTTTGATGCCTACATATTCAAAAAAATCCGTGCATGAGTTTTTTTTGGGACGCCCACACTGTCTAGATGGACGGCTGTGCAGCATTCGTACGTCGGGTCACGAGTTCGCTGCTGTCTGCCGGGGCAGACGTCGACAATGATCCCTTTGCAGGTTCACCAATGGAATCTATGTTACTAGTTCTCTTTTTTTTTTTTTTTTTTTTTTTCTAAATGATAACGCTTGTTGGACTTATAACGATGACACGGCTCCGTCAGCGTCCCTGCGCGAATCTTCTTTCGCAATATACGTCTGGACGATGGGTCCGTGAACGGCGACAAGGTCGTCGTTCGCGATTTTTGGCCGCGACATGCATCGCAGGAAATCCCTTTTTGATGCCTACATATTCACGAAAATCCGTGCAGGAGTTTTTTGGGACGCCACTCTATCTAAATGGATGGTTGTGCAACATTCGTACGTCGGGTCACGAGTTCGCTGCTGTCTGCCAGGGCAGACGTCGACAATGATCATTTCACAGGTTCACCTATGGAATCCATGTTACTAGTTCTTTTTTTTTTCAAAACGATAATGCTTGTTGGACTTCTCGCGATAACGCGGGCCCCGTCGGCGTCCTTGCGCGAACCCTCTTTCGCAATATACGGCTGGACGATGGGTCCGTGAACGGCGGGCAAGGTCGTCGTTCGCGATTTTTGGCCGCGACATGCACCGCAGGAAGGAAATCCCTTTTTGATGCCTACATATTCACGAAAATCCGTGCAGGAGTTTTTTTGGGACGCCCACTCTGTCTAGATAGACGGTTGTGCAGCATTAGTACGTCGGGTCACGAGTTCACTGCTGTTTGCCGGGGCAGACGTCGATAGTGATCTTTCGCAAGTTCACCCATAGAAGCCTTGTTACGAGTTCTCTTTTTTTCTAAATGATAATGCTTGTTGGACTTCTTGCGATGACGCGGGTCTGTCGGCATCCCTGCGCGAGTCCTCATTCGCAACATACGGTTGGACGACGGGTCCGTGAACGGCGGACAACGTCGTCGTTCGTGATTTTTGGCCCCGACGTGCATCGCAGAAAATCCCTTTTTGATGCCTACATATTCACGAAAATCCATACAGGAGTTTTTTGGGACGTCCACTCTGTTTCGATGGACGGCTGTGCGGCATTCCTTCGTCGGGTCACGAGTTCGCCGCTGTCTGCCGGGGCAGACGTCGACAGTGATCCTTTCGCAGGTTCACCCATGGAATCCATGTTACTAGTTTCTTTTTTTTTTCTAAACGATCAGATTTGTTGGACGTCTCGCGATGACGCGGCTCCGTCGGCGTCCCTGCGCGAATCCTCGTTCGCAATATACGGGGACGACGGGTCCGTGAACGACGGACAGGGTCGTCGTTCGGGATATTTGCCGCGACGTGCATCGCAAGAAATCCCTTTTTGATGCCTACATAATAAAAAATCCGCGCAGGAGTTTTTTTGGACGCCCACTCTGTCTCGTTGGACGGCTGTGCGGCATTCGTACGTCGGGCCACGAGTTCGCTGCTGTCTGACGGGGCAGACGTCGACAGTGATCCTTTCGCAAGCTTCACCCATGGAATCCATGTTACTAGTTCTTTTTTTTTTTCCTAAACGATCAGATTTGTTGGACGTCTCGCGATGACGCGGGTCGGTCGGCGTCCCTGCGCGAATCCTCGTTCGCAATATACGGGTGGACGACGGGTCCGTGAACGGCGGACAAGGTCGTCGTTCGGATATTTGCCGCGACGTGCATCGCAGGAAATCCCTTTTTGATGCCTACATAATAAAAAAATCCGCGCAGGAGTTTTTTTGGACGCCCACTCTGTCTCGTTGGACGGCTGTGCGGCATTCGTACGTCGGGCCACGAGTTCGCTGCTGTCTGACGGGGCAGACGTCGACAGTGATCCTTTCGCAGGTTCACCCATGGAATCCATGTTACTAGTTCTTTTTTTCTCTAAACGATCAGATTTGTTGGACGTCTCGATGACGCGGGTCGGTCGGCGTCCCTGCGCGAATCCTCGTTCGCAATATACGGGTGGACGACGGGTCCGTGAACGGCGGACAGGGTCGTCGTTCGGGATATTTGCCGCGACGTGCATCGCAGGAAATCCCTTTTTGATGCCTACATAATAAAAAAATCCGCGCAGGAGTTTTTTTGGACGCCCACTCTGTCTCGTTGGACGGCTGTGCGGCATTCGTACGTCGGGCCACGAGTTCGCTGCTGTCTGACGGGGCAGACGTCGACAGTGATCCTTTCGCAGGTTCACCCATGGAATCCATGTTACTAGTTCTTTTTTTCTCTAAACGATCAGATTTGTTGGACGTCTCGCGATGACGCGGTCCGTCGGCGTCCCTGCGCGAATCCTCGTTCGCAATATACGGGTGGACGACGGGTCCGTGAACGGCGGACAGGGTCGTCGTTCGGGATATTTGCCGCGACGTGCATCGCAGGAAATCCCTTTTTGATGCCTACATAATAAAAAAAATCCGCGCAGGAGTTTTTTTGG